AGTGCAGCTCGTACTCACGCTGTGCTGCTACGTCTAGCAGCGCCCGAAGAGTGGTCCTCTTCCGGGTCGGGGCGAAGGTCTGAAAGAAGTCCACCTCCTCATGCTGACTGAACCCTCGAGTGACGTAACGTGCCTTGAAGACAGACGGCTCTCCAGGAGGGCGCTTCACCTTGAAGAGCCACCGGCCATCAACTACGTTCACCCTGGATGGGGGAACTGCGTCGACAAAGGTACCGGTGGATCTCCAAGATGCCATCTCCTGCTCCATGGCAGCTATCCACTGAGAGGCCTAGGGTCCCGAGGTGGCCTCAGCGCATGTGCGAGGGGTCGGGATGTCAAGGGCGTCTGGGTCACCCTCAGGGACTAGTAGCGTGGAACAGAGATGGGGAGCGGCCTCAGAAAGGAAAGCAAGCTGAAATTGCCTGTCCTCTTGGACGTCACTGCCAAGAGCAACCACACCCCCGATGGTAGGAGGGCAGGCAGGGTCAGAGACCAGAGCGGTGGCGTAGTCCAGGCAGCGGGTAGCGGCGAAGTCAGTGACAGCAGCGACAAGAGCCGAAAGACTCGAGACAGGAACGGACGGGTCGGTAAGAAAAGAGGCAAGGACACAAAGAACAAGGGGACGCGCAGCACGGAGGAAGTCCGAGAACGGAGGCGGGGCCACAGTAAGTGACGACAGAGGAGGAGACGGGAGGAGAGGAGGAGCACGGAACGCGTGAGAGCGAAGCAACAGAGGGTGAGAACGCGGAACAGGGGAGGTAGGACGAGCACGAGACGGACGACGAGACCAAATATGAGATGGAGGGGTTGGGTCAGGAGAGAGGGGAGGAGACAGGTGAGGAGAACAGGGAGGAAAACAAACCGGAGAGGAGTCCGGGAAAAGAAACACGGGGCCGTGGACCGACAGAGGAGGAGGCGGGGGCAGCGGGGAGGCAGCGATGGACGGTCAGGGGAAGGGAGACGGAGGAGGCGGAGAGCGGACACCGTCAGCGACAGCTGCAACTGCTGCCCGACTCCAACACCAGAACCTCCAGCGACAACACGGCTCCCTCCGAGAGGCCCCATGCCAGCACCCCCTGAGCTTGCTCCAGAACCAGCTCCAGCCCGCTCCCCAGCACCCCCAGAATGTACAAACCCCAACGGCGGCTGCGGCTGTGGCGGCGGCGGCGGCAGGTGCGGCGGGTGCGGCAGCGGCGGCAACAGGGGCGGCGAGACCGGGGCAGGGACAGGCGGGGGAAGAGAATCCGCCGAGTTGCGAGAGTCAGCAGTCTCCTCAGCAGGGACAACTGACATGAGGGGGGTGACGTGAGACACACCAGACGGGGCAGGACGGGAAGGGGGGTGGACAGTGTTGACCAAGGGAGGGGGGGACACGAGGAACTTGGGGAGGGGGGGGGGGTAACCGGGGGACCACGGTGGGGAAAGCGGTAGTAGAAGGAGACGGACTTGTCAAAAGTGACGACACGAGTGTAAAAGAACCGGTGAGAAGGCGGATAGTAGAACTGCCAGTCCGACGAGTCGAGGGGGAAACCTAGGAAGACACAAGGGACAGTGCGGGCAGTGAGCTTGTCCGTGCAAGAGGCACAAACGTGAGGAAGGCAGCCCCAGACGTGGAACGCAGACGCGTCACCAGGGGACACGGTCTAGAGGAGGGTCGGCGAAACCTGCGACCGCTGAGGGTGCGGCCAGAGGTTAAGCTGGTGAGCTGTGTAGCGAACGGCGAACGGCCACAGAAAATGGGGTGCACCGGCATGGATCATGGAGGTACGAGCAACCTCCATGACCAAACCGATGCGTCACTCAGCGACCCCATTCTGCTGCAGGGAGTCCGGCAGGGTGAACATCTGGGAGATGCCCTCTGTACGACAGAATCGACAAAGGCAACCAGAGGCAAACTCGCCACCACGATCGGAGTGCAGACGCAAGACAGGGAGGCCTCGGTGAACGCGCGCAGAGACAAGCCACGGGAGAAGAACGTCAGACACGTCGGCCTTCAGCTCCAGGGGATAGACGGTGGGGTAGCGGGTGTAGTCGTCAACAAGCACTAGACGTCCATGTGTAGGGTCTGCAGCGATGCGGAGGTAGGGGGGAACGAGGAGGAGTGAGGGGCATGGCGGAGACGGCTCTCGACACAGGGCGTGCACGGAGGCGCGGGTGAGGAGGGGAGCGCAGGGAACGACTCTGGGAGGCCTAGGACAAGACAATGCTGGGACATGTGACGGAGACGTTCCAGTCGGGGAGATCCTACGCCTGACGCCCCAACAAGGCAAGGGATCCTACGCCTGACGCAGCAGGGGATCCATAACTAGGCACACTGGGCACACCTACGCTAGAAAACACAGGGTAATAGGAACCAGTCACACTAGAGTCATCAATATACAGCGCATACAAAGCAGAGCTAATCTCATCCAATTCCATGTCAAAGATCTGAACACGACGACGGAGCAGACTGTGCCAGTCGGGGAGATCAGGCGACGGGCCGAAGCGGAGGCGAAACAGGTCGTCTAGGCGACGAAAGCAACAAGCGGGGGTTTGACCGATCTTACCGCACACGAGGCCGCAGTGAGGACCGGTCTGGAGCTCGTACAGGCAGCGCTCGTCACTCTGACCACCACCCGAAGGCACGCCGCGCGAGCGACCACTGCGACCACCGTCACCTCCGGCTCCAGGCCACCCGGGCGGGAGACGGCCGACCCTCCGCTGCTGCTGCTTCTGCTGCGCCTGCTACTGTTGCTGCTTCTGGTCTGGCTGCGGGGCCTGTTGCTGCTGCTGCTCCGGAGCACCAGTCCCAGCTCCCTCATCAAAACTACCAGCAAGCGAGCCACCTCCACCACCAGGACCACCCCCTCCTCCGCTACCTCCACCGCGCCCAGCCTAAGGGCGGCAAACCTTACCCGGACGAAACTGCACTGCGGCGGCTGTCTCCACAGCTGGAGCTGTCTCAGCAACCGCAGCAGAACCGTTGGAGTAAGAGCATTGAGCAGGGGCATAGCTTTGAAAGATAGAGACCGGGACTGTACGCTGGACTGGGCGATAGAGCGCTGACGGGTCTCTACGGCAGACAGGGTGTCGATAAAGTCAGTGAGGGTGAGGTCAGCGGGGTGGAGACTAAGGAAGTGATCGCGAGCGGTGGCAAGGCGGTCAGGGAGGCGGGTGGCAAGCTGGTAGAGGGTAGAGCAGATGGGGGGCTGAAACACACCAAGTTGAGCCTCAGTGCAGGCAGCGCGCCAGGTCATGTCTAGCGTGCGCAGGTGGGCGGCGAGGTCAGCGACAGTGGCGAAGGACGCAAGGTCAGGAAATAGTATGGGCAGGATAAGGCGACCTACTGAGGCAGAGGGCGGGGTGGAATAGCGCGCAACAACCGTCTCTAGGAACTTCTGCGTAGTCTAGACTGACCTAAAGCGGGGATGCTCAGACAGGGGAAGGGCATGACTAATCGCAAGCTGAGCGACTGCGTCATGCGACAACCAGACAGCATGGGCAAGAGCAGCTGCTGCAGCAGACTCATGGTCAGCAGTGGTGGGGGCAGCGGGGAGGGCAGCAGGGGGGTCTGGGCAGGGGAGCGTACCGTCGATGTGGACGGCCAGGGAGTGGTGCAGCATTGTCAGTGCGGTGCAGAGCGCTGCAGTGCTCTCCAGTGCGGTGCAGGGCGGTGCAGCATCGTGGGGTGCGGTGCAGGAGCCGTAGGGGCCAGCTGCGCGACAGGGGCAGCTGGGCGACGGGGCCGGCTGTGCGGAACGGGCCGGCGCGGGCCGGCTATGGGACGGCGACGGGCCGGGCAACCGGACGGGCCAGCTACGAGTGCGGGCGCAGGCGCGGGACAGGCCGGTTACGGGCGCGGGCCGGCTTGGGGCGCGGGACGGGGCCGGCTACTGGGCGCGGGCACGGGCCGGTTACGGGGTGGGCGCGGGCCGGGTACGGGTCGGGCGCGGGCCGGCTACGGGACGAGCGCGGGCCGGCTATGGGGCGGGCGCGGGCCGGCTACGAGACGGGCGCAGGCCAGCTACGGTGCGGGCGCAGGCCGGCTACGGGACGGGCGGGGTCACGGGCCGGCTACGGGACTGGCGCGACATGGGCCGGCTACGGGACGGGCGCGGCACGAGCCGGCTACTAGACTGGCGCGGGCACGGGCCGGCTACGGGACGGGCGCAGGACGGGCGCGGGCACGGCTACGGGCGCGGCTACGGGCCGTCTATAGGACGGGCGCGGCACAGGCCGGCTACGGGACGGGCACGGCACGGGCCGGCTACAGGACGGGCGCGGCAGCGGGCCGGCTACAGGACGGGCGCGGGACGGCTCCAGGACGGGTGTGGCACGGGTCGGCTACGGGGCGGCGGGGCTAGCTAGGAGACGGGGCTGGCTAGGAGACGGGCCAGCACGTGTGGGGCGGCTAGGACCTAGGGCGGAAGCTCTAGGGTGGGGGGGGAACTACCTATTCATGATACCATGTTGAAGTGAGAAAAGGTAACTAGAACAGATCATACAGGGGTATATAGTCTAATGGGTTGTACTCCCTAAGGCACAACCCTATATAGTCTACAGTAACATACAATATATGTTTAACAGCGTGACCCTTCGGGTGACTATACGCGCGAACCTACTGTTCACGCGTTGACTCGCTACTGCTAACGTTATCACGCGCATCCTTCCATGCGAGGTATCGCACTACTAGTACAGTCTAAATGTAATATCAGGAATGCATAAGTATACTCTGTCGAGTATAATTCAACAGAATAGGCTGTAGGCGAGTCCACCACGTCTTTTGACATGGATTAATGCATTCCTACAAAATATACGCACCCCTTGATGAAGCTGCAAGAATTCAGGCCCCTCTGCTCTTGCACCAACAGCCATATTCCATAGCATTAAATATCTTTCCGACGATCCCTCTCACGCTGCTCCCGTGTCCCCTTACTCCCAATCCCCACCTCCTGTACGTGCGACTGCAACCCCGCCTCCATCTCACTCCCACCACCTCCCTTCTCACTACCCCTACTCTCTCCTTGAAGCTGCATAACCCTCCTCCTCTCAGCCAGCTGTCTCCGCCACTCCCTTTGAAGCTCCTCTAACTCTACCTGTATCCCTTGCTCCTCCCGCGACACCTTCCAAAAACCTTCTTGGCCGGGCAGATCCCCTCCTGAAGACACTTCTCTAGAACGGCCTACGGAACGGTTTTGCCTCGGAGAGCCTTCTGAAGCTTCTTGTGGAACGTTTTCTGGAGATTTGATCCCAAGGTACGCTGCCAAGCTTGCACCGGGGGTTTGTTGGTACCATGCCTGACAAATAGGTCCATCCAGACTAGGAGAAGGTTTGGCCCTACCGGGTGAAGGTGCGGTTAGACCAGGGGAAAATCCAGGCTTCATCTCAGAAGGCCTGGATCCTGGAGTAGACACTTGGTCATCTGTAGCAGCATGTAGAGACTGCGTGTCTGATCCTCCATCCACTCCTTCTGCGTCTCTTCCACCTCTTCCTCCTCTTCCTCCTCCTCCTCTCCCTCCTCCTCCCTCTCCTCCCACAGTCCCTCTTGATGGCTCCAGTTGATGCACATTCCATTCAGACGGCACTGGTACCCGGGAAAAAGTGGGAGGATCTGCGTTTGCAGCAGCTGCACCTACCCTTATACTGGAGCTAACACTGTAGCCAGCTCCCGAGGCTGTCCCTGCTGCAGCGCCAGAATTAAAGCCAGAACTGGCAGCGAGTGTAGGACTGGCAGCAAAGCCAGACCTTATTCTGACCTCCTTACGGCTACCAGCCACACCAAAGACAGTTTTGCATGGACCAGCAGCAGCACCCGAAGCACCCGCAGCAGCAACAGCAGCTACAGCAGCAGTCAGAGTAGAATCAACAGCAGCATCAGCCGAAGCTGTTGGGACTCTGCGTGTGCTCCCCGGTCTACCTGCTCCAGGGTAAGAACCCGGTCTGCCCTTGGGTTGCATCTCTGACCGCCGAAAATGAGAGCTTGTTCTATATCCACGCATCGAAGCACCATCGGCAGCAGCACCAGCAGCTAATAGAGCAGAGCTACCACCAGAATCAGCAGCCGCGGCAGCGCCAGAAGCAGCACCACCAGCAGGACCGCCAGCAGCAGCAGCAGAAGTGGGGCTGGAATAAGCCCTTCCATCATGGCTGAATCTGGTCAAAGGATGCATGTGTGAAGGACCACCACCACCAGCACCGGTCCCAGCAGTAGAAGAAGCAGCAGCAGCAGCAGCAGCAGCAGCAGAAGATATGGGGCTGGACAATGCCCTTCTATCATGGCTGAATCTGGCCGAGGGGTTTATTGGCACCGGACCTGCAAACGTGGTACAACGGGAGGGTAACATGTGGAAGGATGTTTGAACAGTGGTGTGTGGGGGGACGATGTGTGGATGGATGAAGGCAATACACGTGATGTGTGGACGAGATTCGATAAGACGGTGATGTGCTGGGATGCGACAAGGGAGGTGCTGAAATTGCTGTACTTAGATTCGCTCTGCTGTGCACTAAACGGTTACCAGGTAACTGAATATGTGTCTCAGGGCGCTGCAACAGCGTTCCGAGTGCCTGTGCAGCAGGCAGCACAGGAACCCCGAGCAGCTGTGTCGCCTCTCCAGATGAATGCTTCAGGGTTGTTTGGAGGAGGGTCTCTGCCTCGCGATCTGTTGGTCACGTGAGGGAGAGTGGGATTTCACACATGGGAGTGGTGTATAAGCAAGAGGTGTATATTTATGGTGCGACGTACATGCATGGGAGTGGGGCATAGGAGGATGCATGCTCTTGCTACTGCATGTGACCATGCTTCTGGCATGTGATGTTGCAGGAAAAGCATCAACCTACCAATGGAAGCATGTGTGTGCTAACATCAATCCCCATCCACCTAACCTCACCTGCCCATATGCCACGTGTTTTCATGCAATTTACACCACCCTTCCATCTCACCTCCTCTGTGCCTCCGAGCCCCTAAGGTTGAGCAATTCTTTTTCCTCAGAACCGGCATGCATGCAGCAGCACCTTCTCACACCCTCTCCCCCCCACTCCCCCTCCCCAGCTCTTCTCACCTCGTCTATGGGTGTTCATATGGCCTCCCAGTCCCTGTGGTTGAGCGAACCTCTTGCCGCAGAACCGGCATGCATACAGCAGCACCTCTTCACAACCCTTCGCACCCCTCCCCAGCTCTAGCACCATCCATGACGGGGATGAGCCTCCAGCTGCGTCTGGTGCTGCCGATGCTGCTGCTAGTTGTTGTTGTTGCTGCTGCTGCTGTTGCTGCTCCGGCTGCTGCTGATGATGATGCTGATGCCGCTGTTGCTGTTCTATTCCTGTAGATTGCCGTTGCTTTTCCTGGATTGTCGCTGATATTTTCTGCAGTGCTGCGGCCATTGTTGTTGCAGCAGGAGAGGCAGCAGCAGCCGGAGAGGTAGCAGGAGCGGCGATAAAGGCAGCAGAGGGAGGAGAGGCAGCATCAGCAGTAGTGGCGGTTGCTGCAAATGCAGACGGGGCAGAAGCAGCAGGGGAAGAGGCAGAGGCAGCAGAAGGAGAGGCCGGAGAAGCAACAGGGGCGGAAGCAACAGGGGCAGAACCAGCAGAGCCAGGAGCGGCGGCAACAGCAGCCAAGACTTGTGCCTCATATGGATGCTGCTTCTGCTGCCTCCTCCTCTTCCTCACACTGCCAATTCTCCCTATGAGAACCGCAGGCACTTTCAACCCCTCTGCTGTCACGTCCCCTAGCGTCAACCCCCCTAGTATCACCACATTCTCTTCTGCTGTGATTTCGTGTGCCCCAGGGGTGGCGGTGCTGGCTGTGTCTCTTCGCACAGAGGCACCTGCGGCAGTGGCAGATCCATGCATCAGAGTCGTGTGCCCATGTGGCTCAGGATTGGTGGTATTGTCAGTGCCTGTTGGCTCAGGTGCACATGTGGCGGTGGTAGATCCCTGCAGCAGTACCATGTGCCCCTGTGGCCCAGGGGTGGCGACGCTGCCTGTGACTATTGGCTCAAGTGCACCCGTGGCAATAGATCCTTGAAGCAGAGCCATGTCGGTGTCGCTGTGAGCCATGGCGTTTCTCATGGTCCATGGCGGATCCATGGCAATGCTAGGCAGCAATCCCTGATCCAGCAGTGCTTGGTGCAGCAACCCCTGATCCAGCAATGCTTGGTCCAGCAAGGTTTGGTCCAGCAAGGTTTGGTCCAGCAAGGTTTGGTCCAGCAAGGTTTGATCGAGCAACCCCTGATCCAGCAATGCTTGGTCCAGCACTCCCTGGTCCATCATTGCTTGGTCCAGCGAGTCCTGGTGCAGCAAGGTTTTGTCCAGCAATGCTTGGTCCAGTGTTGTGGCAGCACCATCATCGCGTGTGTCAGCTGGGGGTTGGTCCACCGATGGGTAGCCTACCAATGTGTGGTCCACCAATGCCTGCCCTATGAAGCCTTGGTCACCCTCACCGCGAAGTTGATTCACCAGACGTTCTGAACTCTCCAGGTTCATCACCAAGTTTTCTTGATCCATCAATGCTTCTGGATCCTCCAAGTCCTGACCATTCAACTTCAGGCGCCGTGGGAGCTGCTGAAATTCCCAACTGGGTGTTTCTTCGGAACCTTAGGCCGGTGTCTGTAGGCTGCTGCCATCCGATGGACCATCTGTAAGCCCAATTGACATCGGATGCATCTCAACCGTCCATGCTCGGTATCAAGCCTCCTGTATCAAGCCTCCTGTATCAAGCCTCCTGTATCAAGCCTCCTGTACCAAGCCTCCTGTATCAAGCCTCCTGTATCAAGCCTCCTGTATCAAGCCTCCTGTACCAAGCCTCCTGTTTCAAGCCTCCTGTTTCAAGCCTCCTGTATCAAGCCTCCGTTTAAGCTCTCTGTCTCAGCTCTCCATCCCTAGAAGCAGTGCAACTATGAGATTATTGACCGTGAGAGCCTCAAGACTACTGAAACAGGCAATCACGAACTTGGAACGGTCCTAAGATCGCTTGAAATGGAACGTTAGATGGTCTAGGAAGCATTAGAGATGTACTGCGTGTTTTGAGAGACGTCTCGATCCAAGAATACTTGGGAGTACCTGTTGTGGACGACCACCTTCAACAAGCAGAGGAACTCTGAAAGTAGAAGTGACGACTGGCCCATGCACTCATGGAAGCTCGCTAGCGGGCCATGGTTTCCCTGATCGAGCTGGGAAAAAGCCGCCCTGTGAATGCTGTGTTCTGGAACTGGCTCGGAAACAAACAAAGAAAAGGACGTTGACGACAAGGGAGCTGGCATGAACTTTCATGAAGGGAGGATGCCATCAGGACTTCGGCTTCTGCAAGCAGGACAATATTTTCTGCCAGGCCCTCTGTATGGTTTATTAACGCCTATTCTTAACGGCAATGATTGAAGCATTTGTCAGGCTAGTACTGTATGTCAGGCACTGGTTCGCTCCCCGACTGCCGCAGTCTGCGGCGAAAAGGATGTAACAGTCTATTTTTGAGGCGCCTAAAAAATGGAACAGCTGCGATCTTGAAAATGGAACCCAACGGAAGGTTCTACAGTAGCTATTCGGACTGGATCTTCGGAAGATTGCTGCGTACGCACCCAAGGCGTGTTCAAAGCACGGCAGCATACTACCTCGGCGTCGTTGCACCACATTCCATCTTGTAGTTAAAAAAACAAAAACCACGATAACCTGCGATAAACCAGTTGACGACGTCTTTTGATCCCCGCCTGCTTCGGCGTACAGTACTTCGAAACATGCACTGGATAGATGACGAGTCTGCGGCGAGAGAGGCAGGTGGAAGCTTCGTCAGCCAGCATTTCCAGCTACCGAAGCTACAGTGTGCATAGCTGGGAGCAGTCACTAACCGCGTTTTGTACTGTACTGAAACACTATGCAGGCAGGACAGCCAGAAACACGGCTTCACACAGTTGACAGCAGAAGAAATGGTGAAGGGAGTGCCACCGGAATTCACTGTAGTGCGCTCTGTTGTGGTTATTAGCGGTTCGAAAAAACAAAACGATTTAGAGCGGTTATGAAAGGTTCTACAACAGAAAAAAAAACTTCCTGAGAAACCAAGGCTCTCGAGGAGGAGACAGGAGAGATGGATGAGCGAAGAGAAAATTACTCGGAGTAAACTATGGGTCCACGAAAAGTACTGTTTCTTGGATGTTCGCAGCTTTCCATGGGATTTCCCTTGCATGAAAAAACTGTTCTCGTATATGGTGGGGTGGGGTGGTTCCCGTGCGTTCTCCACCAGGATTTGATGACACGGATGTTGGTCGGGAGGGGAATCTTTGGAAAGAGACCTTGAATGTCGTAGACAGAGAGGGTGACTACATATCAGCCTTGAGCAGCGCATCTTTATCTGCCCACAGGTCTAGGGATCTAGTCCCAATCGCTCCTTCAATGCTGGCTGGCATGACATGACACCAATTGTGATGTTAATGGTTGCCAGCGTGGCAGCTCTGGCAATGTTTCATCGTGTGGTCCAGGTGGACGGACAGAACACCAGGATTCAGAGATCCCAAGATGCTCAACAGAGACACAGGACACGTATGGAATGAATTCCAACCATCAAGTCCCAAACCTCGTACTGTACATGCAAAATCCAGTTCTCGGATGTGATATGAAGTTGCCAGGGTAAAACTATTATGTGATGTGATGTACCTACTAGCTTATGTTGTAAGGAATTTCCATTCCTTACTGAGTCGTACGCTTTTGCGTACACCCGAACTCCTCGACTCGTCACGTTCGGCCTCGTTTATCGGGCCCAACCCTTTCCCGAGTCGCGTCCGGCACTGTCGCCACATTGCCGAACCTAACCACGTTCCGAGGTTATCGCCCTAGTACGCCAACTCCTATATAACCTCGTGCCTTCATTGCAATAGCAACCGTGTATTCTCACGATATAGTATATTGACACTTCCTTTATCATAGTAGTGATCATGATGTAAATGCGTGCATGACACCTTAGGTGACCAAGCCTAGCTCCTTCTGGGATGGCTTTTCGTTCTTTGCCTAGGAGAAGCTTATTATGGTTTTGCTTAATGCGTGAGATGCACACTGAAGGACATATCGGGGCTCATTATACCGGCAGGAAGGACACAACCACACCAAACCAAACCAAATCGTATCAGAACCAACCATACCGCACCAAAGCGGTGGGGATCTCATGAAGAAGCCTGCAGCACCTCTGCTCCACCCTGCCTTCGATCTCCACACAACGCACACCAACCCGCCATCAATTCCGCCTCTCCCTTCATTTCTCGAGCTCACTTTCTTGGCCATTGCGTGACTCACGCTTCCCCTTCCCGTTTCAACCGCCGTCTCATCCCACCCATCCTCCTCCTCTCACGTTCTTTTCCGTATCCTTCTCTTCCTCCTCGCTATGGCCGTAATTTCTGAAATCGAAGAACCGCCGCAGCCGGCGCAACAGCCGGCAGAAGGACTAGGTACGGGCGATAGTGGCAGTCGAGCCGGCGCCGAGGGCCGTAGCAAGGAAGGCGGTTCGGACGAGTTTCCGTTTGACGGCTCGATGCTGTCGCTGCTACGACAGCACGACGATCGGCCGTTGGATCTGCTCCGGACGGTCGCTGGATTTTTGCGACGAAGGACAGATTTCTTTGCGGATGCGGTGCGCTGATGGTGTAACCATTTTCGTCAACGGCTTCGTTGAAATACGTGTGCTGGTTCTTGGTGATCAATTTCGAGAGTCAGGTGTTGCTGATTGTGTAACCCTTTTCGTCAACGGCTTCGTTGAAATACGTGTGCTGGTTCTTCGTGATCAATTTCGAGAGTCAGGTGTTGCTGATTGTGTAACCCTTTTCGTCAACGACGTCGTGAAACACGGGTTCTCAAGACACTGATGTACTTTTACAGTCCAAGTGGTGCTGCTTGTGTAACCTTTCGTTGACGACGGGCATTCGGACTGGTTTACATCACTCCTCTCGAACCCCCCCAACCCCCTTGAACCGTTTTTAACCTCCTGGCCTTCTCTCGAACCTCATGCACAAGAGCTTTTTTTTCTCTTTTTCGTTTTTTTTTTTTTCTTCTTGTTCTTGTTCTTATTCTTGTTCTTGTTTCTGTTTTTGTTTCTGTTTTTGTTTCCCTCAACCATCTGCTGATACATCGCTCGGAAACAGAAGCTGGAAAGATCATCCACGCCGCTCGAGTGCAGTTTGAGCGCACTCATTCCCCTGTGCTGATTTCCCGCAACCCCCCATCCTCGCTACCCCGTTCCCCCTCAACCCCCTTTGCCCGCCTGGCCTCTAATCAGCGCTCGGAAACCGAAGCTGGGAAGATCATCCACGCCGCTCGAGTGCAGTTCGAGCGGGAGAGACAAGACCGCGAGCAGCGCGAGCAGCGGGAGCAGCAGGAGAAGTCCGAGGCGGAGAGACTAGAGAAGGAGAGAATAGAAAAGGAGAGGGCGGACCGGGCGACGAGGGAGAGGGACGAGGCAGAACGGAAGGGGAAGGGCAAGGCGGGAGAAGAGAGGGATGGGGACGGTGCTTCTGGGGGAGCTGCGTCTGCCATGGAGGTCAGCGAGGACGAAGCGAAGGCGATGGATGAAGACGAGGAGGAGCCGGTGGCGAGTGGGAAGCTGAGTGAGTGCAAACCGGTGTTGCGAATGGGGGGTATCACTGTGAGGGTGTGGGGTTTGACGAAGCGAAGGCGATGGATGAAGGCGAGGAGGAGCCGGTGGCGAGCGGGAAGCTGAGTTAGTGGGGGGGGGTAGGTTGTCAGGGTTCGAACGAGGATCTAGGCATCACAGTTAGATGAAGACGAGGAGGAGCCGATGGTGAGCGGGAAGCTGAGTGAGCGTGGGGGTATGGGGGTATGGGGGTATGAGGGTGTCATTGTGAGGGTATGGGGTTCGACCAAGGGAAGGCGATGGATGAAGACGAGGAGGAGGAGCCGGTGGCTAGCGGGAAAGTGGGTGAGTGCGGGGCATGGCTGCTCGGGTGTTAGGGTTTGAGGATTTGGGACATGGAGGAAGGGTTTTGGGTCTAGGGCATCGGGTTTCGGGTTTATGATGAAGGCGAGGAGGAACCGGTTGCTAGCGGGAAACTGAGTGAGCACATCTGAATATGACTGCCCGTAGCCTGTCATTTGACTCCGTCTTGTCAAAACCTTGAACCCTGAACCCTTCCCTCGTCCCCCCCCTTTCCACCGCCCCCCTCCCTTTCACGCTGGATCATACCAGAGAGCCACAATTGGCTATCTAAATTCCCTTCCCTGCCCTTCCCTCCCCTTCCCTTCGTTCCTCCAACCAACCCCTTCCCACAGAGCCAACGTTGGGCAACGGAGCAGACCTGGGGCGCTACTCCTTCACACAGACCCTAGCGGAGCTGAGTGTGGCCATCCCCCTTCCAGCGGGCACCAAAGCGCGCGGAGTGACGGTGGACATCAAGAAGACAAAGCTACTGGCTGGGCTAAAGGGACAAACGCCAGTGCTGGAGGTGTGAATGAAACGAGGCGGGCCGTATGTGTACTGGGGCTAGGACTGGTGCTTGAGTGTGGCCGTCCCCCTTCCAGCGGGCACCAAGGCACGGGGCGTGACGGTGCAGACGCCTGTGGTGGAGGTATGCATGTGCAGTGTTGAGCTGGGCTGGCCATTAGGGGTGTGTGTGGCACCAAGTCGTGGGGAGTGACGGTGGAGATCAAGAAGGCACGCGTGGTGGCTGGGCTCAAGGGGCAGTCGCCTCGCCTGAAATGGAGGTAGACACGTGCAGTGTTGGTCTGGGCTGGCCAAAGGTGTGTGTGTGGCACCAAGGCGCGGGGGTCGACGGTGGAGACATGCGTGGTGGCTGGGCCCCAAGGGGCAGCCGCCTGTATTGGAGATAGGCACGTGCAGTGTTGGGCTGGGCTGGACATAGGGGTAGGGTAGGAGTACGGGGTAAGGGATATGGGGTAGGGGGTCGGGAGTAGGGAGTAGGGGGTAGGAAGGGAGAATTTATTGACTCTGGAGCAACTACTGCTCTTTGGCTGCTGGACCCTTTTTTAGTAATGCTTTTTTAGTAATGCTTTTTAGTAATGCTTTTTTTCTCTCGCTTTCTTCCTTGTTTTGCCTTCTCCCTTGTTTTGCCTACTCTATTGTTCTTGCCTTCACAGGGCGAGCTGTGGGCACCTGTGAAGGTGGATGATTGCATTTGGAGCATTGGTAAGCCCGATGTATGTATTTGTATATAGAGATATATGCAGTCATAGATGAACATACATTCATATATATTTATAATTATATATCCCCCCACCCCACCCCACCTTTTCGCTCCCATTCCTCTCTCGCTCACCAGCCCATGTCTTCTTTTTCTTTTTCATTATCTGCCTCTCTCCCATTTCTTTTGAGGCGACTTTTGAGTCGACTCAAAAGTCACCTCGTTACAATGTCACACAACACTCTTCTTCATCACCCTGCCTCTCTCCCATTTCTTTCTCGTTCATCCTCGTGTGTGCTGTTGCACTCTCATGTCCTGGTCTTCCAATCAAACCACCCCCTTTGAGGCGCCTCAAATCACTCTCATGTCCCAGTCTTCCAATCAAACAATCCTCCCCCCCCCCCCCCCCCCTCCACTCCACCCCTCTCTACTCGGGCAACCCCGTCCCGTACCCTCTTTCTCCTTCCAACTTCCTTTCGTGTGACATTGTAACGAGGTGACTTTTGAGTCAACTCAATAGTCGACCCTCCCCCCAACCCCCCCACCCCCCCCCCCTCTCTACCCAACCAACCCCGTCCACTGCCCTCCTTCTCCATTCAACTTCCTCTGAGAGGATCATCCTGGGGGTGGGTAATGATTTGTTCAATTACGGTTCAGAGTAATTCTGTGCGGTTTTGTGGGGTAAAGCGCTCAAGATCACCCTTTTTAATTTTTAAGGGCCGGCCTTATGCCCTCAAACCTCGCGAGTGGTGAATTGTACCACGCTCTAAGAAAGGGGCGAGTTGAAAAAAAATTAGTCGACTCAAAAATAGACTCATTACACATGCGATCCTCAAAAGCGGTGAATTGTGCCGTGCTCTAAGAAAGCGGCGAGCTGGAAATTGTGCGGCCCAGAGCTGGGAAGTAACAAGCCCACTCTGTCCATCTTCCTCCCTTGCCTGTTCGTTCACCATCCCCAACACCCTCTTCTTTCCCCCCGCTTCCTCCCCCTTCCCCCCCTTCCCTCCCCCTTCCTCCCGCTTCCCCCTTGCCTGTAAGATGGTGCCTAGGGGCGAGCTGGAAATTGTGCGGCCCACTTGGGAGCTGGAAAACAGCAAGCCCACTCTATTTGACTTCTCCCCTTGCCTGCCCGTTCCCGGTCCCCAACACCCTCTTCGTTCTCCCCCCCTCCCCCCTCTCTACCGCCCCCCTCCCCCATACACCCTCGCCCTATTTCTCATAGGACAACCCTGGGGGCGGTCACACCGTCAAACCCTGTTTTTTCTCCCCCCTCCCGCCCCTTCCCCCCCCCACATACACCCTCGCCCTGTTTCTCAGAGGACAACCCTGGGGGCGGGCGCACCCTGTCAATCCTTCTGACCAAGGTCAACCACATGGAGTGGTGGAGTGCGGTGGTGAGGGGCGAGCCCGAGATTGACACTCAGAAGGTGGAGCCGGAGAACAGCAAGCTGGGCGACTTGGATGCTGAAACGAGGCAGACTGTAGAGAAGATGATGGTGAGTTGTTCGGGGGGGGGGGGGGGGGGAGGAGGGGCTAGCGATATACGAGTGAGGTGACTAAGGGTTAGCCTGAGAACAGCAAGCTGGGGAAACTTGATGCCGAAACGAGGCTGACTGTAGAGGCGATGATGGTGAGAGAGAGAGGGGGGGGAGGAGAGGGAGAGGGGGGGGTAGGAGAGAGAGAGAGGGTTGTGTGTGTGAGAGAGAGAGAGAGAGTGAGAGAGAGAGAGAGAGAGAGAGAGAGAGAGAGAGAGAGAGAGAGAGAGAGAGATGCTGATAGCTGGGGGATTTTGATGTGTTAAGGAGGCAGACCATAGAGAAGATAATGGTGAGAGGAAGAGGGGGGGGGGGGGGAGCAAGCAGAAGGGGGGGGGGGGAGGGTGAGGTGAGGGGATCTCTGGTGTGGGCTGGGTGGTTGGGAGAGGGTGCGTGAGGGGTAGCTAGCAAGCTGCGGGACTTGGACCCCAAAACGGGGCAGACTGTAGAGAAGATGATGGTGAGAAAGAGAGGGAGGGGGAGGGGGGGGGATGAGGGAGAAGAGGGGGAGGGGAGGAAGAGTACTTATTGGGGGGGCTAGGGCGGAATGAGTGAAGGTATCAGGGGATGGCTGTTCAACTCCCAACACTGTCTTTTATAAATCCTACCTCTTGGGGAATCTCAAGTGGGCAAGGGGAATCTCCTCTTGGTTTCTGTTTCTCATTTCGTTCTCCGCCACCTCGCCCTCTCCGCCCTTCCTTTCCCCCTCTTCTCTGTGCCACGGCCCCTTCCCCTTGCCCACCCACAGTACGACCAGCGACAGCGGCAGATGGGGCTACCAACAAGTGAGGAGCAGCAGAAGCAGGATATTCTCAAGAAGTTCATGGCGCAGGTGGGTTGATGGTTGGGTTCAGGTGGGTTGATGGTTGGGTTCAGGTGGGTTGATGGTTGGGTTCGGGTGGGTTGATGGTTGGGTGCAGGTGGGTTGATGGTTGGGTGCAGGTGGGTTGATGGTTGGGTGCAGGTGGGTTGATGGTTGGGTGCAGGTGGGTTGATGGTTGGGTGCAGGTGGGTTGATGGTTGGGTGCAGGTGGGTTGATGGTTGGGTTCAGGTGGGTTGATGGTTGGGTGCAGGTGGGTTGATGGTTGGGTGCAGGTGGGTTGATGGTTGGGTGCAGGTGGGTTGATGGTTGGGTGCAGGTGGGTTGATGGTTGGGTGCAGGTGGGTTGATGGTTGGGTGCAGGTGGGTTGATGGTTGGGTGCAGGTGGGTTGATGGTTGGGTGCAGGTGGGTTGATGGTTGGGTGCAGGTGGGTTGATGGTTGGGTGCAGGTGGGTTGATGGTTGGGTGCAGGTGGGTTGATGGTTGGGTGCAGGTGGGTTGATGGTTGGGTGCAGGTGGGTTGATGGTTGGGTGCAGGTGGGTTGATGGTTGGGTGCAGGTGGGTTGATGGTTGGGTGCAGGTGGGTTGATGGTTGGGTGCAGGTGGGTTGATGGTTGGGTGCAGGTGGGTTGATGGTTGGGTGCAGGTGGGTTGATGGTTGGGTTCAGGTGGGTTGATGGTTGGGTTCAGGTGGGTTGATGGTTGGGTTCAGGTGGGTTGATGGTTGGGTTCAGGTGGGTTGATGGTTGGGTTCAGGTGGGTTGATGGTTGGGTTCAGGTGGGTTGATGGTTGGGTTCAGGTGGGTTAATGGTTGGGTTCAGGTGGGTTGATGGTTGGGTTCAGGTGGGTTGATGGTTGGGGTCAGGTGGGTTGATGGTTGGGGTCAGGTGGGTTGATGGTTGGGGTCAGGTGGGTTGATGGTTGGGGTCAGGTGGGTTGATGGTTGGGTTCAGGTGGGTTGATGGTTGGGGTCAGGTGGGTTGATGGTTGGGTTCAGGTGGGTTGATGGTTGGATTCAGGTGGGTTGATGGTTGGGTTCAGGTGGGTTGGTGGTTGGGTTCAGGTGGGTTGTTTCAGCTCAGGTTCTCAGGCGGGTGTTTGGGACTCAACATCCTCCCTTCCCCCCCCACTCAAACACCAGCATCCCCTCGCTCACTCTCTCTCCCCCTGCATGCATTTCCCCGAGATGTCTTTCTTCAATGCCAAGTTCTTGTGAGGCGCTGCACTGCAGCACTGCGCACAAGACTCACGGAGAATTCCCGCTCCACTCCCTTCCCCTCCCTTCTGCGTCCCCCTCCCGTCCCCTTCGCCCCTCACTTAACCCTCTCTCTCGCCCCCCCGGTGTGCAGCACCCGGAGATGGATTTCTCCAATGCCAAGTTCTCTGTGTGAGCAAGAGAAGAGACTTCAAGGTTTTCTAGTTCTGATGCGCCTCAAAGCAAGAGAAGAGACTTCAAGGTTTTCTAGTTCTTGTTAAAGTAAAAATTGAATGAGTGAACTAGAAGGAGAAACCTAGAACAAATACTAGTTGGTTGTACTCACTAGAAGCATACCCCAATCTAGCCTATAAGGGGTGAAGCTAAGCAAGAAGCAAACAGCTCAAGTTGATACACCCCCTAGGCTAGACAAGGGGTGAAGCTAAGCAAGAAGCAAACAGCTCAAGGTGGCACTACTAGTCCAACCACTGAGGTAGGGGTTTGGAGACCAGTCAGCAAGAGTACAAACAAGTCTAAAGCAAGCCAGGGCGGCACTACTAGTCCAGCCACTGGAGGTAAGGCCACAAGGCCAGTCTGACATGTATATATAATAGAGAGTACACAATCAGGATCCTAACAGGTGAGTAGCTACAGGAACAAGACCAAGCTGTACACAGTGCCGCTGATGATCTTTAGGCGCAAGCGCCTTAGTAAAGATATCAGCTGTGTTGGCACCTGAGGCCAAGTGTACTACGCGGGCTTGGCGGCGCTGCTGTAACTCGCGCAGGAGGAAGTACCGCAGCTGGATATGCTTCGCTCTGCCCTCAAGCCGAGGCTCCTGACATCGGAGTATCATGGCCCTGTTGTCAGCGTACAGGACCGGGGCAGAGCTAGGCCGCTCACCTAAGTCTGTAAGCAAGAAGGTCAGCCAGCGGAGCTCCTGTGCCGCCATGGCACCAGCGTAGATCTCAGCCTCACAACTGGACTGAGCAACAGACGACGAGCGAGTGGATCTCCAAGAGATAGCACTCGAACCAAGGCTAAAACAGTAGCCCTGCGACGACCTGAGCGTCTCAAAGTCGTCTGCCCAAGAAGCGTCTGTGTGCCCAGTAAGGACCTCTGGCATGCGTCGTCCTAGCACTAACCCCATGCCCGAATGTACTAGCAAGATAACGCAAAACCCTCTTAGCGGCAGACCAGTGCTGTGGTCGGTGTCTGCCTGTAGCCACAAAGAGAGCCAGGATGCTGAGAGGGTATGCGAGATCTGGGCGAGTGCAAGTCATCAGGTACATAAGGCAACCCACCAGCTCTGCGTAGGGGCCACTGGGCTCTACTGGCTCCTCAGGAACGGGAGCGGAGAGCCCATGGTCTACAAGTAGAGGTGTGGGCTGTGCGGAGGAGAACTGAAGACCGAACCTCTGAAGGACCTGACGCACCAAGTGTGACTGTGTCAGAGTGATGGTGCGTGCTGCTCTGTCCCTAGAGATTTGCAAGCCAAGATAGCGGCGCATTTCTCCAAGGTCAGTGCAGGTGTGTCTCTTAAGCAGCTCGGCCTTCACAGAGGCCAGTGCGTCCCTGTCAGCAGTAGCGAAAACTAGGTCGTCTATGTAGACAAGGATGTAGAACGGAGTCTGGCCGGAACGCACAAACAGTGAGGGGCCAGCAGAGGACGGAAAGAACTGCAGGTCTGCTAACGTGGCACGCAGCGTGTCGTGCCACTCGCGGGGAGCCTGACGCAGGCCGTAGACCGGGCGCCTGAGAAGCCACTGGGTCCCAGGGGGGAAGGTACCAGTGAAGCCCTGTGGTCAGCGCAGGTAGACCTGCTCGTGTAGGCTGCCCTAAAGAAAGGCAGTAGAGAAGTCGAGGGAGTGAAGCTCGTAGTCGCGCTGTGCTGCTACATGTAGCAGCGCCCGAAGAGTGGTCATCTTCGGGGTCGGGGCGAAGGTATGGAAGAAGTCAACCCCCTCGCGCTGACTGAAGCCTCTGGCCACGTAGCGCGCCTTCACCCCAGGCGAGGGAACTGCTTCGACGTAAGTGCCGGTGGACCTCCAAGATGCCATCTCCTGCTCCATGGCAGCTATCCACTGAGAGGCCCAAGGTCCCGAGGTGGCCTCAGCGTAGGTGCGAAGGGTCGGGATGTCGAAGGCGTCTTGGTCACCCTCAGGGACTAACAGCATGGAGCAGAGATGGGGAGCAGCCTCGGAAAGGAAAGCAAGCTCGTAATGCCTGTCCTCTTGGACGTCACTGCCAAGGGCAGGAGCACCCCCGACGGACGGAGGATGGGCAGGGTCAGAGACCAGAGCGGTAGCGTAGTCAAGGCGGCGGGTAGAGGCGAAGTCAGCGACAGCAGCGACAAGTGCGTCAAGGCGCGAGACAGGAACAGAAGGGTCGGTAATAAGAGAGGCAAGGACCCGAGGAACAAGGGGACGAGCGGCACGGAAGTAGTCAGAGAACGGAGGAGGTGCAACAACAAGGGACGAGGGAGGAGGGGACGGGAGGAGGGGAGGACAAGACGAGCGGGAACGGAGCAACATAGGGTGGGAGCGCAAGACAGGAGAGACGGGACGAGCACGGGAGGGACGGCGAGACCAAACGTGGGATGGAGGTGTAGGGTCAGGGGACAGCGGAGGGGACACAGGAGGGGAACGAGGAGGGAGACGGGCCGGAGACGAGTCTGGCGGCGGGAACACGGGACCGTAGACAGGAAGGTCAGCAGGCGGTGGGGGAGACACCGGCGAGCGGTCCGGCGAGGGAAGGCTGAGCAGGCAGAGAGCGGAGACCGGCGGCGACGGCTGCTGTGGCTGTTGCGACGGCTGGGCCGGAACCCTCGGGCCGGCAGAGGCAGGACGACCGTCGGCGGAACCCTCAACAGCAGCACCCCCAGAACCAACACCCCCAGAGCGAGAACCCCCTCCAACACCGGCGGCACCCCGGGGAGCCGCAAGACGAACACCCGCCTCAACACCAGCACCCCCATGGGCCAAGAGCGGCGGCGACGGCAGCGGCGGCGGCAGCAGCGGCGACGACAGCGGCGACGACGGCGGCGGCGGCTGCGGCGGAGGCGGCGAATGCGACAGTGGAGGTGAAGAAACCAGGGAAGGGGGACGCGGCAACGACGGGGCGGGGGTACCACCAAAGTCAGCGGACTCCTCAACGGGGACAACCGACGGGAGGGGAGTGACGTGAGAGACACCAGACGGGGCAGGGCGGGGCGGGAGAGGAGCAGGGACTACCGAGGGAGAGGGAGCAAGGAACAGGGGCGGGGCAACCGGGAGACCTCGGTGAGGGAAGCGGCGGTAGGAGACAGACTCGTCAAAGGTGACGTCACGAGAGTGGAGGAAGCGGTAAGACGGCGGGTGGTAGAAGAGCCAGTCAGACGAGTCCAGGGGGAAACCGAGGAAGACACAGGGGACAGCGCGGGCAGTGAGCTTGTCCGTGCCAGAGGCACGAACGTGAACAAGGCAGCCCCAAACGTGGAACGCCGACGCGTCACCGGGGGACCCGGTCCAAAGGAGGGTCGGCGAAACCTGCGGCCGCTGGGAGCGTGGCCACAAGTTAAGCTGGTGAGCAGCGTAGCGAATAGCGAACGGCCACAGAAAATGGGGGGCATCAGCATGAACCATGGAGGTACGGGTGACCTCCATGACCAAGCCGATGCGGCGCTCAGCAACCCCATTCTGCTGTGGCGAGTCCGGCAAGGTGTACGACTGGGTGATGCCCTCCGCATGACAGAATTGTCCAAGCCGACCAGAGGCGAACTCGCCGCCACGGTCAGAGTGGAGACACAACATGGGGAAACCGCGGTGAAGACGCGCAGCCACAACCCACGGGAGAAGAACGTCGGGCACGTCAGCCTTCCGCTCCAGGGGAAACACCATGGTGTAGCGCGTGTAGTCGTCGGCGAGCACAAGGAAGTAGCGCTCACCTCGCAGTCCGGGGACAGGGGCAGGGCCCCAAACGTCGAGGTGCAGGGTCTGAAGGGGGGCAGTAGCAAGGCGCAGCGAGGAGGAGTGAGGAGCACGGCGGAGCCGGCCCTCGACGCAAGGCGTGCACGGTGGCGCAGGCGATGGAGGAACGGCAGGGAGTGATGTAGGGAGACCTAAGACAAGACCGTGCTGGGACATGTGACGCAGACGTGGGAGAGCAGGGTGACCTAGGCGGTGGTGCCAGAGAAGGGACGGGTGAGTGAGGGACCGACACGAGCAAGCTGCAGCGACCTGGGAGGACGCACCAACCGGGGGGGAAGCGGTGTCGAGGGTAAACAGACCGGACACCGGGTCCCGGGGGAACGTCGCAAGGGGGGAACCTGACACAGCCTCAGAACAGATAGCGAACCGCTTGTGCCCGGGGAACGAGGTGGTGACGCCGAGGTCCTCGACACAGCCGACACCAACCAGGTTCCTCGAGAACGAGGGAACGTGGAGGCCTGTAAGGGAGCCTGAGGGAACTGGACAGGGAAGGGACGTGGAGCTGCGAGCGACGACAGGACCCCCAGAGGGGTCAGCGAGAGAGACAACAGCATGCGTAGCAAGCGGCGTAAGCGCGGAACGGTCGCGGAAGAAGCAGGCAGAAGCACCGGAGTCGAGAGTGAAGGACAGCGAAGCGGTGGCGGAGGCCGGGAACGGAGCCGGTGCAGAGGCTAGGCTAGGCAAACTAGGCAGTCCTACGCCTGACGCAGCAGGGGAGGCTAAACTACACAACGGTGCAACTCCTAAACTAGAGTACACAGGGTAATAAGATCCAGCAGCACTAGAAGCGTCAGAATACAAGGCATGCAAAGCAGCACCTATCTGATCCATGTCTAACTCCAAGATCGGCACGCCCTGGCAGAGCAGGCTGTTCCAGTCGGGGAGGTCCGGGGCCGGGCCAAAGCGACGACGAAAGAGATCGTCAAGGCGGCGGAAACAGCGGGCGGTCGGGTGCGGGCGGCGGCTCAGAGTGCCGCGAAGAGGCCCGGTCTGAAGCTGGTACTGGCAAGTGACAGCACCGGAGCCGCCGGTAGACATCGAGCTGCGCGGGCCGCCACCACGGCCACTACCTCCGGAGGTGCCGGGCCAACCAGGCGGGAGACGGGCCCACGGCTGCGGCGACTGCTGCTGGGACGGCGGCTGCTGCTGGGGCTGCTCCTGCTGCGGCTGGGGCTCCTGCTCCTGCCCACCGGTGGTAGTCCCCTCAGGCGGACTACCGTCACCACCACCACGACCACCACCACCTGCGCCACCACCCCGACCTCCCTGGCGGCCACGGCCACCGCGGTGCGAGCGCTGCTGCGGGTGGAACGCAGCAGCCGTCTCGGTGACAGGGGTTGTCGTGGCGACCGCATCCGAAACGTCAGTGAACGTGCACTGGGAGGGGGCACAGCCGTGAAAGATAGAGACTGCCGGCGCACCGCTCGACTGAGCGATAGTGTGCTGGCGAGTCTCGATCTCGGTGAGGGTGTCGACAAAGGCGGTGAGGGTGAGGTCACCCGGGTGCTGGCTAAGGAAGTGATCGCGAGCACTAGCGAGGCGGTCTGGCAGGCGCATGGCGATAAAATAGAGCGTCATACAAAAAGGGGGGGGGAGCGCAGTGAGCTGGGCAGCAGTGCTGGTAGTGCGATAGCAGGTCTCTAGGGCACGCAGGTGAGTGGCAAAGTCTGCGACTGTAGGGAAGGCTGCAAGGTCTGGGAACAGCATCGGGAAGAGCAGGCGGCCAGCAGAAGCAGACGCGGGTGTGGAATAGCGAGCAATAACGGCGTCTAAGTAGGCTTTGGCCATCTCAACAGTAGCAAAACGCGAGCGCTCAGACACAGGGAGGGCGTGGCTAATAGCAACCTAAGCGACTGCATCGCGGGAGTCCCAGACCGCACAGGCCAGCGCAGCAGTAGAGGAGGTCTCACGGTCATCAGAGGAGGGGTCAGCAGGGAGGGCAGAAGGTGCGGGGGGGCGGGGGAGCAAGCCATCGACATGAACAACCAACGAGTGGCCATCCTGGCGCTAACCTGTAAGGTGGCGGCGGAGATCGGAGAGCGAGGCGGCGAAGTCAACCGCATGGCCCTCGGCGTCCAGTCGGAGCACGAAGTCAGCCATCGTGCAGGGTCAGCGGCACAGCTCCACAGCTCCGCAGGAACACAGCGACGTAGGGACACGGCGGCAGCACTCTCCAGCACGGCGGTCGCGAGGCGCCCCGGCGCTGGCGAGCAGAGTAGACGGAGCTCGAGGTGGCACGGCAGGCCGAACAGGCACGAAGAGGGGCCGGGCGGGCAGTGGGTGTGGCCAGGCAGACGCGGCGGGGCCAGGCAGGCGCGGGAGGGCAAGGGAGGCGCGGCAGGGCCCGGCGGGCTCGGCAGGGCCAGGCAGGCGCGGCGGGGCCAGGCAGGCGCAGAGGGGCCAGGCAGGCGCGGCGGGGCCAGGCAGGCGCGGTGGGGCCAGGCAGGCGCGGCGGGGCCAGGCAGGCGCGGCGGGGCCAGGGGGGGCGCGGCGGGGCCAGGCAGGCGCGGCGGGGCCAGGCAGGCGCGGCAAGGCTAGGCAGGCGCGGAGGGGCCAGGCAGGCGCGGCAGGGCCAGGGAGGCGCGGCGGGGCCAGGCAGGCGCGGCGGGGCCAAGCAGGCCGCGACGGGGCCAGGCGGGCGGGACGGGGCCAGGGAGGTGCGGCGGGGCCAGACAAGCGCGGCGGGGCCATGCAGGAGCGGCAGGGCCATGCAGGCGCGGAGGGGCCAGGCAGGCGCGACGGGGCCAGGCAGGCCGCGACGGGGCCAGGCGGGCGCGACGGGGCCAGGCAGGGCGCGATGGGTCTAGCGGGCGCGACGAGGCCAGGCAGGGCGCGTCAGGGCCGGAGCGGGCGCGACGAGGCCTAGGAGGCACGACGGGGCCCAGGAGAGGCGCGACGGGGCTAGGAGGCGCGGCGGGGCCCAGGAGGGGCAACGGGGCTAGGAGGCACGACGGGGCCCAGGAGGGGCGCGACGGGGTCCAGGAGGGGCGCGACGGGGCTAGGAGGCGCGACGGGGCTAGGAAGGGCGACGGGGCTCAGGAGGGGCGCAACGAGGCTAGGAGGCGCGACGGGGCCCAGGAGGGGCACGACGGGGCCAGGCGGGCGCGACGGGGCCAGGCAGGGCGCGACGGGGCCTAGCGGGCGCGACGGGGCCTAGGAGGCACGACGGGGCCCAGGAGGGGCGCGACGGGGCTAGGAGGCGCGGCGGGGCCTAGGAGGGGCGCGACGGGGCTAGGAGGCGCGACGGCGCTAGGAGGCGCGACGGGGCCCAGGAGGGGCACGCCGGGGCCAGGTGGGCGCGACGGGGCCAGGCAGGGCGCGACGGGGCCTAGGAGGCACGACGGGGCCCAGGAGGGGCGCGACGGGGCTAGGAGGCGCGACGGGGCCCAGGGGGGGTGCGGCGGGGCCTAGCTATGGTACGGGCGGAAGCGGTAGGTGGGGGATTCTAACCTACGCGTGATACCATGTTAAAGTAAGAACTGAATGGATGAACTAGAAGGAGAAACCTAGAACAAATACTAGTTGGTTGTACTCACTAGAAGCATACCCCAGTCTAGCCTATAACTTCTACATAGCTAATATGTATAAGTTGACAGTTCTGATGCGCCTCAAAGCAAGAGAAGAGACTTCAAGGTTTTCTAGTTCTTATGCGCCTCAAAGCAAGAGAAGAGACTTCAAGGTTTTCTAGTTCTGATGCGCCTCAAAGCAAGAGAAGAGACTTCAAGGTTTTCTAGTTCTGATGCGCCTCAAAGCAAGAGAAGAGACTTCAAGGTTTTCTGCTGTCAGCTTGAAGGAGTGTGCTTAGAAGGGTCGGGTCGAGGCGACTCGCGGAGCAGCGTTGCTAAGGCATGGTGTACTGTTTAGAAATGGTGTGTTTCATGGGATTACTGTACCTGGTGTGTCGGTGGGAGGGTGGGGCAACCCTTTTCCTGAGTCCTGACTGGCTGAAATGCGATCTTGCCATGCATAGTCGTTTCAAAATAGTAACGATCACAACTTGCAAAAAGATCCTACTACCACGTTCTATGCTAATGCGTCAAGTTGCTGTGTGCATCTCAGCAATCCTAGGCTGAAGTACAGTGCCGGCATCAGGATGATCCGGTAATGATGATTCTGTGCTTGGAAGACTTCTGAGTTGACTCAGGGCGTGTCCTCCTAGGAAAATGGTGATTCGAACTAACTTTTTATCGCACTGTGTTGGCATCAGAATTATATTTGCTCATAGGTTACACGAACACTTAGACATCACTGTACATCAAATATCATACTGTACAAACGCTACTCGTCTTCGGAGTCTGAGTTTGCGCTGACAGCAGCGGGGAGCAGGTTCAGAAACGGCAGCACGAGCAACGAGGAGAAGTTACAGATGGCAACGAGCGTGGGCAGATTGGCGAAATTGGTGCTCGTGACGCCAAGCCAGTTGGTGAGACCAGCGCCCATGACCCCACCAAAGACACTGGCTCCGTTGCTAACAGACATGAGCGTTGCGAATAAAGTTGCCTCGATGCCGGGGGGGCAGACTCTGGCCGCCAGCACCAGCACTGGCATGAAGGAGATCTGCCAGGGGGAAAGGGAGATGGAGATGGAAGAGAGGGGAGAGGAGTAGGCGAGCCGGGAATTTGTGCTTGGTGCTGGTGGTGACGCCAAGCCAGTTGGTGAGACCAGCGCCCATGACCCGAGCGGCCAGCACCAGCACTGGCATGAAGGAAGTCTGCCGGGTGGGGAGGGGGGGGTGGTTGGGGGGTGTGGGGGGTGTGGGGAGAGGAGTAGGGGAGCAGGTCTTTTGTGGTTTGTGCTGGTGGTGATGCCACGCCAGATGGTGAGACCGGAGCCCATGACCACCCCAAAGACATTGGCCCCGTTGCTCACAGACATGAGAGAGGCAAAGAGGGTTGCCTCGATACCAGGGGGGCAGACTCGAGCTGCCAGCACTAGCACTGGCATGATGGAAATCTGAAGAGGGAGGGGAAAGGGAGACGGAGGGGGGAGAGAGGGGAGAGGAGTGAGGGAGTAGGGAATTTGTGGTTTGTGCTGGTGGTGACGCCAAGGCAGCTGGTGAGACCAGTGCCCATGACCCCCCCGAAGACACTGGCTCTGTTGCTAACAGACATGAGCGTTGCGAATAAAGTTGCCTCGATGCCGGGGGGTCAGACTCTGGCCGCCAGCACCAGCACAGGCATGAAGGAAATCTGCTGGGCGGGGGAGGGGAGGGGGTGGTTGGCGGGTGTGGGGGGTGTGGGGGGTGTGGGGAGAGGAGTAAGGGAGCAGGGAATTTGTTCTTTTTGCTGGTGGTGACGCCAAGCCAGCTGGTGAGACCAGTGCCCATGACCCCCCCAAAGACACTGGCCCCGTTGCTGACAGTCATAAGCGTGGCGAAGAGGGTTGCCTCGATGCCGGGGGGGCAGACTCTGGCTGCCAGCACTAGCACCGGCATGAAGGACATCTGGGGGGGAGGGGGAGCGTAGCGAGGGGTTCGAAAGACGAAAGATGGAAGGGGAAGGGGAAGGTGTGAGAGTTAGATAAAGCAGGTACCGAAGCACATGTGTCATGTGTCATGTGTCATGTGTCATGTGTCATGGGAGGTGAAGAATGTGTGCTCGGGGCTCGGGGCTCTGTGCCCCCCATGACCCCCCTAAAGGCACCAGCACCGTTGCTGACAAACAGGTAATTTCGACCTGGCCCCCCCTACGTGCCCACCTGCCCCCATCAGTGCCCACCTGCCCCCATCAGTGCCCACCTGCCCCCATCAGTGCCCACCTGCCCCCATCAGTGCCCACCTGCCCCCATCAGTGCCCGCCTGCCCCCATCAGTGCCCACCTGCCCCCATCAGTGCCCACCTGCCCCCATCAGTGCCCACCTGCCCCCATCAGTGCCCGCCTGCCCCCATCAGTGTCCACCTGCCCCCATCAGTGCCCACCTGCCCTCATCAGTGCCCACCTGACCCCATCAGTGCCCACCTGACCCCATCAGTGCCCACCTGCCCCCATCAGTGCCCACCTGGCCCCATCAGTGCCCACCTGCCCCCATCAGTGCCCACCTGCCCCACTCTCCCGTGTTTCCCAGATTCCACTTAATCCTGTTCCCCTATACCCCAGCTCCTGCAAAACCATGGTTCCCACCTGCCTCAGATCCCACCCTGCCTCAGGTCACACCTGCCCCCAGGTCTCACGTGCCTCCGTTATCACCTGTCCGGGATTCTGGTCGCTGACTCCCAGAGTACCAGAGAAATCCTCAAGCATCACACCTGCATTTGTCCTCAGATGCCCCTCGCAAGTCTCACCTGAACCGGTTCTCACCTGCCCCGGTTCTCACCTGCCCCAGTTCTCACCTGCCCGAGCACCGTGAGGATGAGAGAATCTCCCAGCAAAAAGTACTGGTCGCTGATGCCCAGAGTGCGGTTAAGACCGGTGACAAGGAGTAGCTGATGTTAAGACAAGGGGATAGGCGGCACGTGTGGGAAGAAGGTGGCAGGCACGTCAGGTCAAAGGGGGTAGGTGGGTCAAAGGGGGATAGGTGGGCGAAGAAGCATGCAGAGAAGGAAGAAAAACAATAAGCACGAAGCATGAATCAGCACACGGCAAGCATGGCAGGGGGAGACGGAGGGGAGAAAGTAGGGGGGGGGGGGGGGGGGAACAAACAACTGTAACGCGGATGTACCAGCCGCGACGGTTCGGCTTTCCCCGGAGGTTACTTGCGGTTTGCAACCGCTGGCAAGATGACGAGGAGAGGAATCGACAAGAAACATCGGGCGCATACAGGCTGGCTGTATGCGAGATCAACCGTTTGAGTTCGGGTGATTGAAGTTTGCGGACGGTTTTATAACCGTACGCAACCGACCGGCAGCTCGGATGACTGACGGTTTTATGCGGTTGCCAAGCCGCGTAGCGATCCGAGTCCAAAATAAGGAGTTACCTTTTCATGGACCGGAGTATAAATATAGCGATCCTAGCTTGTATCGTCAACTTCATTATCTAGCATCGATCTATTGTATCATCCATTGATATACAAAGGTTCTTGAGTCACTCCCTTGCAACCAACAGTCCAACACTTGGCATCCCTCAGACGGGCGGTGAGGCCTGTTCCCAACTGACCCCTGGCAGTGAGTGGTCAGTGTGGGATCCCCTGGGCTCAATAGGCCTGAGACCGAGGCGTGTATCCGGTTGGCGAAGCCGGTTGGGAGCTCGAGGCGTTTGGTCAAGATCCCCTTTGTGTACGGGAAGGATATAGGAACGAGTCGATCGAGGGCCGACATTGACAGAGAGACAAGCGGAGGAAGTGCAAGGAATACAGAAAAAATATCTATTTCGGGTTACAACTGTAACGCGGATGTACCAGCCGCGACGGTTCGGCTTTCCCCGGAGGTTACTTGCGGTTTGCAACCGCTGGCAAGATGACGAGGAGAGGAATCGACAAGAAACATCAGGCGCATACAGGCTGGCTGTATGCGAGATTAACGGTTTGAGTTCGGGTGATTGAAGGTTGCGGACAGTTTTATAACCGTACGCAACCGACCGGCAGCTCGGATGACTGACGGTTTTATGCGGTTGCCAAGCCGCGTAGCGATCCGAGTCCAAAATAAGGAGTTACCGTCTCATGGACCGGAGTATAAATATAGAGATCCTAGCTTGTATCGTCAACTTCATTATCTAGCATCGATCTCTTGTATCATCCATTGATATACAAAGGTTCTTGAGTCACTCCCTTGCAACCAACGGTCCAACACTTGGCATCCCTCAGACGGGCGGTGAGGCCTGTTCCCAACTGACCCCTGGCAGTGAGTGGTCAGTGTGGGATCCCCTGGGCTCAATAGGCCTGAGACCGAGGCGTGTATCCGGTTGGCGAAGCCGGTTGGGAGCTCGAGGCGTTTGGTCAAGATCCCCTTTGTGTACGGGAAGGATATAGGAACGAGTCGATCGAGGGCCGACATTGACAGAGAGACAAGCGGAGGAAGTGCAAGGAATACAGAAAAAATATCTATTTCGGGTTACAACTGTAACGCGGATGTACCAGCCGCGACGGTTCGGCTTTCCCCGGAGGTTACTTGCGGTTTGCAACCGCTGGCAAGATGACGAGGAGAGGAATCGACAAGAAACATCAGGCGCATACAGGCTGGCTGTATGCGAGATTAACGGTTTGAGTTCGGGTGATTGAAGGTTGCGGACAGTTTTATAACCGTACGCAACCGACCGGCAGCTCGGATGACTGACGGTTTTATGCGGTTGCCAAGCCGCGTAGCGATCCGAGTCCAAAATAAGGAGTTACCGTCTCATGGACCGGAGTATAAATATAGAGATCCTAGCTTGTATCGTCAACTTCATTATCTAGCATCGATCTCTTGTATCATCCATTGATATACAAAGGTTCTTGAGTCACTCCCTTGCAACCAACGGTCCAACACTTGGCATCCCTCAGACGGGCGGTGAGGCCTGTTCCCAACTGACCCCTGGCAGTGAGTGGTCAGTGTGGGATCCCCTGGGCTCAATAGGCCTGAGACCGAGGCGTGTATCCGGTTGGCGAAGCCGGTTGGGAGCTCGAGGCGTTTGGTCAAGATCCCCTTTGTGTACGGGAAGGATATAGGAACGAGTCGATCGAGGGCCGACATTGACAGAGAGACAAGCGGAGGAAGTGCAAGGAATACAGAAAAAATATCTTTTTCGGGTTACAACTGTAACGCGGATGTACCAGCCGCGACGGTTCGGCTTTCCCCGGAGGTTACTTGCGGTTTGCAACCGCTGGCAAGATGACGAGGAGAGGAATCGACAAGAAACATCAGGCGCATACAGGCTGGCTGTATGCGAGATTAACCGTTTGAGTTCGGGTGATTGAAGGTTGCGGACAGTTTTATAACCGTACGCAACCGACCGGCAGCTCGGATGACTGACGGTTTTATGCGGTTGCCAAGCCGCGTAGCGATCCGAGTCCAAAATAAGGAGTTACCGTCTCATGGACCGGAGTATAAATATAGAGATCCTAGCTTGTATCGTCAACTTCATTATCTAGCATCGATCTCTTGTATCATCCATTGATATACAAAGGTTCTTGAGTCACTCCCTTGCAACCAACGGTCCAACACTTGGCATCCCTCAGACGGGCGGTGAGGCCTGTTCCCAACCGACCCCTGGCAGTGAGTGGTCAGTGTGGGATCCCCTGGGCTCAATAGGCCTGAGACCGAGGCGTGTATCCGGTTGGCGAAGCCGGTTGGGAGCTCGAGGCGTTTGGTCAAGATCCCCTTTGTGTACGGGAAGGATATAGGAACGAGTCGATCGAGGGCCGACATTGACAGAGAGACAAGCGGAGGAAGTGCAAGGAATACAGAAAAAATATCTATTTCGGGTTACAACTGTAACGCGGATGTACCAGCCGCGACGGTTCGGCTTTCCCCGGAGGTTACTTGCGGTTTGCAACCGCTGGCAAGATGACGAGGAGAGGAATCGACAAGAAACATCAGGCGCATACAGGCTGGCTGTATGCGAGATTAACCGTTTGAGTTCGGGTGATTGAAGGTTGCGGACAGTTTTATAACCGTACGCAACCGACCGGCAGCTCGGATGACTGACGGTTTTATGCGGTTGCCAAGCCGCGTAGCGATCCGAGTCCAAAATAAGGAGTTACCGTCTCATGGACCGGAGTATAAATATAGAGATCCTAGCTTGTATCGTCAACTTCATTATCTAGCATCGATCTCTTGTATCATCCATTGATATACAAAGGTTCTTGAGTCACTCCCTTGCAACCAACGGTCCAACACTTGGCATCCCTCAGACGGGCGGTGAGGCCTGTTCCCAACCGACCCCTGGCAGTGAGTGGTCAGTGTGGGATCCCCTGGGCTCAATAGGCCTGAGACCGAGGCGTGTATCCGGTTGGCGAAGCCGGTTGGGAGCTCGAGGCGTTTGGTCAAGATCCCCTTTGTGTACGGGAAGGATATAGGAACGAGTCGATCGAGGGCCGACATTGACAGAGAGACAAGCGGAGGAAGTGCAAGGAATACAGAAAAAATATCTATTTCGGGTTACAACTGTAACGCGGATGTACCAGCCGCGACGGTTCGGCTTTCCCCGGAGGTTACTTGCGGTTTGCAACCGCTGGCAAGATGACGAGGAGAGGAATCGACAAGAAACATCAGGCGCATACAGGCTGGCTGTATGCGAGATTAACCGTTTGAGTTCGGGTGATTGAAGGTTGCGGACAGTTTTATAACCGTACGCAACCGACCGGCAGCTCGGATGACTGACGGTTTTATGCGGTTGCCAAGCCGCGTAGCGATCCGAGTCCAAAATAAGGAGTTACCGTCTCATGGACCGGAGTATAAATATAGAGATCCTAGCTTGTATCGTCAACTTCATTATCTAGCATCGATCTCTTGTATCATCCATTGATATACAAAGGTTCTTGAGTCACTCCCTTGCAACCAACGGTCCAACACTTGGCATCCCTCAGACGGGCGGTGAGGCCTGTTCCCAACTGACCCCTGGCAGTGAGTGGTCAGTGTGGGATCCCCTGGGCTCAATAGGCCTGAGACCGAGGCGTGTATCCGGTTGGCGAAGCCGGTTGGGAGCTCGAGGCGTTTGGTCAAGATCCCCTTTGTGTACGGGAAGGATATAGGAACGAGTCGATCGAGGGCCGACATTGACAGAGAGACAAGCGGAGGAAGTGCAAGAAATACAGAAAAATTATCTATTTCGGGTTACAACTGTAACGCGGATGTACCAGCCGCGACGGTTCGGCGCCCACGGCTTGAGCAGAGAAATCCGTCTGGAGGAGAAATGGCTTGGTGAAATCAGGGTAGACGAGGATCGGCGAGCTGGTGAGGGCGGTCTTAAGCTTCTGAAATGCCTCCTCGCAGTCGTCGGTCCACTCGAATGGGGTCTCATTTTTGAGGAGCTGGTTCATCGGGGTTGCTATCTTGGCGAAACCCCGGATGAAGCGACGGTAATATGAAGCCAGGCCGAGGAACCCTCGAATCTGCTTCACATTCTCTGGTGTCGGCCATTCTTTAACCGCCTTGATCTTCTCTGGGTCGGGGGCCACTCCATCACGACTGATGATATGGCCCAGGTACGGCATCTTGTTGAACCCGAAATTGCATTTGTTGATCTTGAGGAGCAGGGAATGCTCTTTGACCCTCCGCATTGCGAGCTTGATGTGCCCAAGGTGCTCCTCCCATGTGGTAGACCAAATGGCCGCATCGTCCAGATAGCAGATGATGAACGGGAGATCTCGAAAGACTCCCATGATGAAACGCTGCCAGGTAGCAGGCGCGTTTTTCAATCCGAATGGCATACGAGTGAACTCGTACAGGCCCGTTGGAGTGACGAACGCGGTCTTTGGGATATCCTGCTCGGCGACTGCAATGTTGTAGTAGGCCGATTTGATATCCAGGATGGTGAAATACTGCGCCCCTCGAAGCTGGTCCAGGATCTC